AATAAAAAAAAAAACAGGGGCGCCTGTTTCTTCATCATATTTTTGTTGATTTCAGTTTTTAAATCTCCCTCTGTCTCTTCCTTTCTCTCCTCCTCCCCAAACTCATTTCTTCCATCTTTGAATACCAAGACACCACCTTCTTTAGATTTTGCCTCTGGTATTTTTTTTTTTTCCTATTTCCTTTTTATGTCTTCTTATGCTTTTTTCTTTTAAAAAACAAACAAAAAAATCATCTCACACTTTTAAGTTCTATGTCTTATTGTTATCACTATTATGATGTAATAATATTTCCTATTAACAACGCCTGTGCTTGCTGATGGCACTGTTTCATCAATAGATGTGTGCATGATGTAGGCTGTGTTCCAGAATTTGCTTTTACTCTCCACTTGTGCCTCAGAGAGGTCCTTTTAAAAAGGTGAGTTGGATGAAAATTTCTGTGCTCTCTTGGTCTGCTTAAGGCTCTCATGTGAACTGCTCAACCCCTAGATATAGGACCGTATGAATCAACTGAATCTTGGCCCCTATCGCCTGAGGGAATGTTGTCTCAGTGCCAGAGTCTCTGTCCCTAGCGGGTACCACTCGCTTCCTCCTTCTGAGAATCCCCCAAGCACCCCTGTCACCTGTCCTCCCCACTTCTCCACACAGCCAAATTTGGCTAAAGTGAACTTTGTCTCCAAAGGTTTTTCAAGTTATATAATCACTGCCATAATTTGGACAACTAATCTAAATCGTATCATAAATTATTTGTGATGATTGATGATTCATTTTCTACTGTTCATTTTGAAGATCAGTATTTCTTTAAAGAAAATGTATCAGCAAATATATTTTGAAAAAAAAAGGTGTAGGCAAATCAGGGCACATTTATTTAGATTAACCGATTTATGGTCTTTTTAAATGTAAACGTTCAAGTGACACACCTAAGGGAATTTCCCCCGCACTGACAAAACATTTGAAGCCAACTAAAACCAAGGCTGTAATGCTAACTATCTTTGGAGACAGTTAAAAAACTCTGCCTCGTTAGAAATTTTGGAGGATTTCTAATAATATGACAGGCTTTTCCTGACCCAGTTTTAAGTGAATAAGAAATATGTTCATAGCAGTGAGTAATTCAGCACATTATGTCTTCCCCCCCCAACAACTGTTGTTTAAATAAATCAAACTTAAGATAGAAAGCCATTCTTGCACAGATTAGCCCTACATTTTCGAAGATGAAGCATATCTATGAGATATTCTTTTAACATGATTAGCACTTTCTTTGAGTGATTCCTGGAAAAGCGAGTCCCTTATATGCTGGCGGAAGTAATATTTTAATTACCTGCCTATTTGAAGATAACTCAGGAAACAACTATACCTGGTAGCGCATTATCTGTCTGGAGCAATTAACAACAAAGACTTTAAAAATACACCCATCTGGGGTTATTTAGCGTAAGGATTTATTCTTATCTTTCCATACCATACTAATCTTGGAGTACGCTGTTCTATTATAGTGGACTTTGAGCCCTGGATTTATAATGATAACCCTGTCATCCAGAAAGATTCTGTACCTAAACATTTATTTAGTTAATATTTATCCAGCTCCACTGCTGTGGAAGCTAATTGGCTAATTCCTTTGGAAGACATGGGTATGAATATGCAATTGACTGTATTCTCTAGGAGTTCATAATAGAGTAAGGGAGAGGCCACTTAGACACAAATTATTGTGAAGTAAGACAGTATAAATGTGCCAAAGAAGAAGGACAAAGTTGTTTGGAGTCTTAGAGAAGACAAAACTATTTGTTATATGGGATGATAAATATATGGATAATCAGAAAAGGGGGTTATTGAAGAGATTTCATATGTTTTAAGGAATCATAGAATAGGTTAAACACATAAAGTACTGGATTTAAGATAGCAGGAAAGCATATAATTAGTGTTAGGAAGATCTCCATTAAATGGTTTCTAAAAATTGACATGTGAAGAAATAAGCTGTGATTACATGGTAAATCCACATACCTAACAGATCATTTTTAAAAAATTTTTTATGACTCTGGATTAAACGAGATACTGTTATAGATATGTTTCTTAACAGGAATTCATTAATATAAAGCTTTAAGATACTTACATGTAGATACAGTTGACCTTTGAACAGCATGGTTTTGAACTGCATGGGTCCACATACACATGGACTTTTTTCCTTTTTTTTTTAAATTTAATTGCAGTATAGTTAACATACAGTGTTATATTAGTTTCAGGTGTACAATATAGCAATTGACCAATTCTGTACGTTACTCAGTGCCTTCATGATGAGTGTGCTCTTAATCCCCTTCACCTATTTCCCCCATCTCCCCACCCACCTCCCCTCTGGTGACCACCAGTTTGTTCTCTATTGTTAAGGGTCTGTTTTTGGTCTCTTTTTTTCTTTTTGGTTTCATTCATTTTGTTTCTTAAATCCACACAGGAATTAAATCATATGGTATTTTTCTTTCTCTGACTGGCTTATTTTACTTAGCATTATACTCTAGGTCCATCTATGTTGTTGCAAATGGCAAGATCTCATTCTTTTTTTTCTTATTCAGTAATATTCCAGTGTACTACATCTTCTTTATCCATTCATCTATCCACGGATACTTAGGCTGCTTCCATAATTTGGCCATTTGTAAATGATGCTACAGTAAACATGGTGGTGCATATATCTTTTCAAATTGGTATTTTCCTATTCTTTGGGTAAATACCCAGTAGTGAATTACTGGATCATACAGTAGTTCTATTTTTAATTTTTTGAGGAACCTCCATACTGTTTTCCAGAGTGGCTCCACCAGCTTGCAGTCTCACCAGCAGCGCACAAGGGTTCCTTTTTCTCCATATTCTAGCCAACATTTGTTGTTTATGTTTTTGATTTTAGCCATTAAACAGGTGTGAAGATATATCTCATCATAGTTTTGATTTGCATTTCTCTGATGATTAGTGATGTTGAGCATCTTTTCATGTCTTTGTTGGCCATCTGCATATCTTCTTTGGAGAAACGTCTCTTCATGTCTTCTGCCCATTTTTTTAAATTGGATTATTATTATTATTTTTTTGTGTGTGTTGAGTTGTATAAGTTCTTTATATATTTTGAATACTAACCCTTTATCAGATTATGTCATCTGCAAATATCTTCTCCCATTCCATAGGTTGGCTTTTAGTTTTGTTGATTGTTTCCTTTGCTGTGCAGAAGCTTTTTATTTTGATGTAGTCTCAATAGTTTATTTTTGCTTTTGTTTCTTTTGCCTTAGGAGACATATCTAGAAAATGTTGCTACAGCTAATGTCAGGGAAATTACTGTCTGTTGCTCTCTTTTAGGATTTTTATGGTTTCAGCCCTCACATTTAGGTCCTTAATCCATTTTGAGCTTATTTTTGTATATGGTACTAGAAAGTCATCCAGTTTCATTCTTTTTCATGAAGCTCTCCAGTTTTCCCAACATCATTTGTTGAAGAGACTATCTTTTTCCCATTGCAAATTCTTGCCTTACATGGATTATTTTTAATAAATATAGTACAGTACTGTAAATGTATTTTCTCTTCCTTATGATTTTCTAACATTTTCTTTTCTCTAGCTTACTTTATTGTAAGAATACAGTATGTAATACATATAACCTACAAAATATGTGTTAATTGACTCTTTATGTCATTGGTAAGACTTCAGGTCAACAGTAGGCTATTAATAGTTAAGTTTTGGGAGAGTCTAAAGTTATTTGTGAATTTTCGACTGCCCAGTGGTCAGCATACCCAAGTGCCTTGTTATTCCAGCGTCAACTGTACTGTGAGTTTTTTTGAAAGGATGGGCATGTTAAAGACTTAAAACATCAAGTGATTGGATTATCTTAAATCTTTTTGTTGCTCTTTTTTTTCTGATTGAATTCTATAGTAGTTTCTTTTTTAAGATTTTATTTATTTATTTGACAGAGAGAGACACAGCAAGAGAGGCAACACAAGCAGGGGGAGTGGGAGAGGGAGAAGCAGGCTTCCCACAGAGCAGGGAGCCCGATGCGGGACTCGATCCCAGGACCCCGGGATCACGACCTGAGTTGAAGGCAGACGCTTAACTGACTGAGCCACCCAGGCGCCCCCATTTGTAGTAGTTTCTTGACGTATTTTCTTTTCCTTTTGATAGTTTCCATAACGATTTCAATGAAACAGTTAACTATATAATCTAGACTTAGTCTGTGTCTACATGGACACAATTTTTTGAGTAATCTTAATAAAACAATCTTTTATTTCAACTGAAGTATAATTGACACACGATGTTTCATTAGTTTCAGGTGTACAACATAGTGATTTGACAAGCAAAATAATCATTTTTACTAAAATATATGTTTTCCTCTTATGACAGACCAACACACACATTACTATTCTGATTGGCAAATTAAGCAAACAACAACTGTGAACATAGATGTAGTAAAAATGTCCTGAAGTATTTTATGTCATAGTTGTACAGCGCTGTAAGATTTTATATACTAAACATCAAATAATTAAAAGGGAAACAACCTAATGGCAATCAGATTTGTATTTTAGAGTGTACTTCCATAGTTCCCTTACTGCGAATTGCTATTCTAAGCCAAATATCTGAATTGGTCAAAAAACCAAACTGTCAACAGGAAGTGTTATTTTAGAAAATTAAGGTGAGTTTTTATTTCATGACATGATTAAAAACTGGGTTGGTGGGAAAGAAAGGAGGAGGCAAAGTCATTTTGTGTGGTGGGCCATAAAACTATGGCTATGTCCTCCTGTTCCTCAGCTGGAACTTTCAAAGGCAGCTGTGCCATAGTCCTGCTGTGTGGAGTCAGGAGGAGTAGAGTGAGCAGCAATTTTCTGACTAAGGCTAAGTCAGATTACAATTTGTCAGTCAGAGTTTAGTTAGGAGAAAGAAACTTCAGCACTTAATTGAACAGAAAGTATTTACTCAGAGAACTGTTGAGTAGGTATAAATAATTGTAAACTAGGTTACTGGAAAGGTGACAAGAGGTCACTTAACATATCATGGTGACAGCAAGTATGAGAAGAAGCTACCACTCCAGAGGCTGGAGGAATGGTGGAAAGGGGTTGAAATTTAAACTTAGAAGCATAGAGGAAGGATGCCAGGGGCTGAAGCCACTGAGGAGGAGGTGATGCTAAAGTGATTTGGTTTCTTTGGGGGTGGCGATGAAGCTGCTTCTGTGAGTGTTGGAAAAGTTGGCAAACTAGATTCACCTGCAGCTGTGGGAGGGCCCTTCAGTTAGTGGGGTGAAGAGGAATTACTAAGGAGGATCTGCCACCCCAGGAAGCCAAAGGAAAGGCTAAGTCCCTTCTTGGTATTTTCTGTTGGTGGCCTACCATCGAGCCGGCCAACAAAGCAGAAGGGTCCCCTATAGAGTCCCAGCTCCAGCATCACAATATTTACTATAGAAGGGTGAGTTTGAAGTTGAGTGACAATAACTTAATAAATAAAACAATCTATCACTAAAACAATTGATCATTACAGTAGGGCATTTCATTCCTCGATTTAAAATCATGTTCATGTTTAGATTTTTTTGTTAGACTATGTAGTATTTTTGCAGTCGTAGGAATATAGAAGAGAAAAGATACATCTCATTTGCTCAGTGAGAAACTAAATTCCTTTGAAGGTCTCTTCAAAGAATTCACTTCCACCAAATATACTTCAAGTTGAATTTTATCAACTGAAGTTTTGAATTTAATTAGCAGATTAAGTTACCTTTGAGTAATAGATTTTTTATTTTCCCCTAATTCAATTTTTCTCTTTCTCTTGAGACATGGCTAACAAATTTGTAAGGGCAATTCAAAGACATCTTCACCTCTAATGTACTATCCTTATTGAAAAGTAACGTTTTTCAATGAAATGAAGAATTGGTGGGAAAGTGTACAAGGGAACAAAGAAGAGAGGAAAATATGTTGATAGATCTGGAACTAATCTTTCACAGATTTTTTTCGTCCTGAGACCTTGAGGCTATGGACATAAAACAGTTACAGGACTTCAGAATGTAAACACTATTGTTTAAAGTTGTAATAATTCCAGAAATCCTGTATCAGCATTCACATAGATACAAGCTCTAATGCTTATAAATCTCAGCATCCACTATGTACAGCCGAGCTGATTCACATTGACCGAGTATCGGATAGCATTCTTCTTTAAGTTTGGAAATCAAGGAAACCTTAACTTTTTTTTCCTCTTTAAAGGGAAGAAGAAGAAGAAATTAATGAAGAGGAATTGGAAAGACTGAAGGCAGAGTTAGATGAGAAAAAACAAATGATTGCTACTGTCAAATGCAAGCCTTGGAAAATGGAGAAGAAAATTGAAGTTCTCAAGTATGGTGCCACTTTTTGTAATTAGACATACTTTCCCTGATTGCTGATCTCCTAAATCCTCTGAGTATTACCTATATTTTATACATAGTGCTATCTATAGTATATCACATATATAAAATACTCATTATTATATATAATATTCATGGTCATAGACACTATACAGCATAATATATATGTTACATGTCATGTATGTGAACACATCATATGTATGTACATATATGCTTATATATTAACATCATTAGAGAGGCTGAACTGATGATTATATTTTTCAAAAAACTATGAGCAAACTCATTGTTCAGAGTCTTATAACCTCTGGTCACTTTTAGTCATTTGTTCCTTGAACTGAGACTTTCTTTAGTTGAATACATTCATTCCTATCTCTCTGTAAGAGATAATATATTTGACTTTTACACATTTGTGTGGCTTTGCACATTCATGTTTCTCTGCAGGGTCCCAGCCTCAAATGATATAATCAGGTGACAGCTCTCTTTAAAGCACAGGGATGATATTAAGCCAACAGAACAGTACACAGGATTCCAATTAAGGATTATGCTAATAGCTATTCCATGGTGACATGTCAGTGACCCAATTTCAGTCTTCCGTTGGGTGTTGATGAGACTACAAACACTCTCAGAGGCGCATGGATTTGCCAACTCCCTATATGAAAAGACAAATGATTCTCTCTTTCTGAGTGATGGGAGCAGATTCACTTCTGATCACTTCTGAGGATCACACTCTATTTCCTTGCCAAGGTTGTTGGGGAGGTGAGGCATGACTACGAGGGAATGTGTCTGTGATAACAAGCATGTTTATATCTTTCAGTTGTGCTACCGATTACATTTTTCCGCAGAACCATTTTTGTAAATGGTCGTAAATTTCCAAAGCTATCTCTCCACTGGGATATTGAGTTAATAATGTTAAATATTATAGTGTAGTATCATTGTCTTTGGTGATGAAAAAAAGAACTGAAGTAGTTATGAGGATATTTCACTTCTAATTTTATCTTTGCAAAAGAGTAGGTGTTATTTAAGGACATTGCTTAAGCTTCTGGGGCCTCAGTTACCTCATATCTAAAATAAAACAAGATATTCTAGATCTATCCTGTGAAATGGGAACCTAGCCATCATTTATAATGGCATCGTTTTGTTCTGCGGGATGAAGTTTTCCAAGTTCCAAACAATGGTCTTCCCAGCAAAGTTCTAGAACACCGCAGTTGTAGGCTGGGAACTCCATGTGCATTGGACACACCAGCCATGAATGAAGGCAAAGACAAGCAGGGTGCCTGGTTCCATGGAGCGAGTCATGTGTGTGCGTGTGCATATACACGTGTGTGGGTGTGTTTGCACGTGTCTGTTAAAATAGTTTTCATTCAGTGAAGTGATAATGATGCCAAATTACAGGTTTAAAAATGTCCGTACTTGGGAAAATACAAGTTTGGCAGCCACCTTATGTTGCTTCCGAAATATATTTTGAAAAATTACTGGCCATAAAATCCCCACACAGTGGAAACCACAGGTAACTGTGTGTAGAACATTGTCACATTGGAAAGCAGTGATACTGTGAAATTTCAAAGCATGGTGTGAAATTGAGTAAGAATGCCAAAGAGTGGATCTTCCCTTTCTACCTGCAGAAGGCATAGAAATACCCCCCACTCTCCCTTTTCTCTGTCTCCCATGTAGGGCCGTGGAGCAGGAATGGGCTTCTGATTTCAGTTTGAATCTCAGACCTTCCACTTAATAGCTGTGCAAATTTGAATGAATTGTGTAGCTCTCTGCCATTCAGGTTCCTTATGAAATTACGCTAATGTACAGGGTTATTGGCATCATAAAGTGAGATAATTTACATAAAACACTTAGCACGGTGCCAGAACATACCACATTGCTGGGAAGCACAAATTGCAATTATTATTTCCTCTCAGGACAGAGTCAATGATGCCTGGTCCCCTGCAGTGTGACAGGAGAGATGGAGAGAGTGTGCGACAGGCAGGGCTGAGTGGAAGCAGACCTAGCCAGGGACAACCTTGGGAACCCTGGGGGATGGTGACACATTGGTAGCAGTCTAGATGGGCAACCAATTTTGACATTCCAACGAAGAACAGAGCATCTTGATAATTTGGCAGAATCTGGGGCCAAACTACTTTCAGGTCTTCCAAATGTACCCAGGGTAATCCTGTGGCAGATTCCAGGACCTGGAGCCTTGAGCTGAGTCCAGCAATGAACCCCTTTTTGGAAGGGGGGAGAGAGAGAGGGATTGGGATGGCAGTAAGAGAATACCAGGCCCTATTGCTAGGGCAGAGATTGAAAATGGGGAGTCTTCAGCTCAATCCAGGTCTTAGGTCTGAATGTTAGGTTTTTAATTGGCCCACATGATTTTTGTTTTTTTCTTTTATTATTTTTTCATTTTTCATTCATATATATATATATAACATGAAATTTGCCATTTTAACCATTTGGGGGTATATTTTTTTATAACATTTTTTCTCTGTTGTCAAACACTGAAAAGTAGGAGATTTCACATTAAAAAAAAAATCCAGGGGCGTCTGGGTGGCTCAGTCGGTTAAGCGTCTGACTCTTGATCTCAGCTCAGGTCTTGATCTCAGGATCGTGAGTTCAAGCCCCACATTGGGCTCCACGGTGGGCATGGAGCCTACATTAAAAAAAAAAAAATCCAGACGTCCACCTTCTGCTGGACAAATGGAGGATCTGGACCCTCATTCTTTCAGGGAAATAGCAGCTGGGACTTGGCATTCACTTTTCAGTGTGCACAGTTCTCAAGCAATCCACATCAGCTGCTCATGCTACTTGGTTAAACCTTGCATGCATTCCAGTCTGCTGCCTCCTACCCGTGCAGCAAGGGAGCAAGTTAGGCATGTTACCAAGACAGTGATTCAGAACGTCAGCTTCAAAGCCAGCTTGCAGAATGGAAGCTCAGATGCAGGCCCAGAGAAGAAACAACTATGGCTTCTCACCTGTCAGTAATGCTCACTATCTCGTGACGATTCTCCATGGCCGGAAGTGGGTCCTGCTTTGTAGCTTTGCAGCTTTGCAATTCTCTGCACAGCTGGTGCTGGTGGTCACGGTTGGCCTGATTCCCTTGATTTCAGTCTCTGTGATGAAATTGTTGGCACTATGGTGCCCGGGCTGTCTCCCTTTATGGGTTTCTGAATGTTGTATTGAGCTTCTCCCTCATGGATTTCAATCACATTATTAGAGCAAGCAGTCAATATTTTATAGTAGAGGTAAAGGTTTCTCTGCCCCAACATGGAAGTCAGGGAGCTTTTCTCCTACCCTTTATCTCTTTCAGGGATGTCTAACTCTGAGAGAATCTTTCTGAGGATTATGTTGTTCCCAGAATTTACCTCTAGTCATCAATCTTTGCTAAGTATATGGAATCCAAGGCACTAGGCTCAATATAACTAGAGCAGATACTTTGATCATAGGTTTGGATCTGCGTCGAGGTTCCAAGGCTTTCCATCTGGCTCTGGACTCTGAAAAACTGGTGAAACTTCTAAAACAGATTTAAGAGAGGGTCAGGCTTTCAAGATGTGTTTTAGAGTAAAGCATTGGGAATAGTAGCTTATTCTGAGGATGCTGTCGGGCCGGGGTGGGGCAGTGCTCAGGGTAGTTCCCACATTCTGAAAGAGGATCTACCACTAGCAATGTGAGCATCTTCAGAGCTGAGGGCCAAGCAACAGTTAAAATAAGCAGTTAATAATAGGCACGAAGCCCTAAAAATGGGTTGTTAATCCCGAAGGACTCTCAAATACGGCTCAGGAATTGGAGCTTGGCATTTTCAAGGCCAGCAGTATTGGCTTTTTCTGACTGAGGAGAAGCTACATCCTTTCCACTGTCGCTGTGGAACTATGTTTTTCAGTGTGTTTTCCTGTGTGTTAATGCAGTTTTGTACATTCATGTGGCCTTAAACCTGTTGAATGATAATCTCCGGGCGGGAGGGCAGACGTGTCTGTCCCAGACTACAATATGCATATTTTTGTTTTCTGCTCTGAAAATCCTTGATATACAGTCAGGATTGAGGGCCATGTCTTTTGATTCTGAGAAGCAGAAAAACCTCAGTAAGCAGAACGTCCTACTCCATAAACTGTTTATCGAATGGGTGAGGATATGTTGAGGGGGTGGGACAGGGGAAGGGAAATACTGGTGTATTTTCCAGCTATTTGAAAGTCAATTTCCATGTTTTATTAATAACTAACCAAAAAAATATCCAACAGCGAGGATTTTAGGCATAATTTGTTTTTAAGTTGTTAATGGGTTTCACTCAAGTTGGTTGACCAGATAGATCATTGCTCCCTGTAATCGGTGGCTGCACTAACCTGGTAGCAACCACCACAGGTGATATAAAACACCTGGATGGAAAATAACTGGTCTACTTATTATTCATCCTGAAACCTCAAACCTGACTATACCAGAACATTCTACGGGGTAGATTTAAAGCCTGCCTGACTACACCTGAACAAGCAACCATTTTATTTTGTTGCAGTAGGGTAGGTTGGGGATTGAAAATTAAGAGACGTGGACTCGGGGCTAAGTTCTACCTCTAACCTCACCTCTCTGAGCCTCATGGATTTATTTATACAGTGAAGGGATTGGATTGTGGCTGGTGGTTTTCAGACTGCTTTCCTCAGAGTTCCAGCGGTTTGGTGAAATCCTTTCAGGGCAAGGGAGCAGAGGTTAATTAAGAGTGGTGCTCGGCTACACCACCAGCTTCGAGCAGAGACTTCACGGTTTCCTGCTTCTACACAATGTACTTGTGTATAAAGCACCTGTTTGAAGGGGAAAAAAATGCTTCTGTGCCTATTAATACAAGAAATAATTAAAACCCTCACTTAACTGATTATTTAAAGAAGCTGATTTTGGGGAGGGAGCAGTTCTCACATTTCATGAGTCTACAAAGCAGGGTATGGGAATACTCCAGTATACTTTTGCATGGAAATGGCTCTTGGGTAGAAGCCCTTTTAAATTTATTTATTTTGATAACAACCA